GGTGCAGTAATTGGAAACGTTCATGGCGATTGAAGGTGCACTGGGGAAGCCTCCAGGGTGAGATAAGGCAAGCAATCACCATGCCAAGGTAATTTGTTAGCAGTGTCGGCTTTGGGCCGACGTGTGTAAACCTGCCTGCTGTGATGTATGAAGCCTGCTAACCTGAGGAAGCTTGGCCACAGAAGGACAAGAGAAAAGGACCCCTGCATGGAACTGGCCAGGGGAACCACCTGTAGCCACGAATGTGACATTGTCCGGATGGAGCAGACCCGGGTCACACACACTCTGTGGATAGCGGGTAGGCGTGGCCTCCAAGTAGTACATAGGTGTCACCATTTTTCTCTGGTCTTGCTCAGTAGCTCTTATAGATCACAGCCCTTAAAAAACTGCAGAATGGATGTAAGTTTTAGTGCATCTCATAAGTCAAAGTGATCTTAGTTGGCTCTCTGACCCACCCCAGCCTTGCTCCACTCTCCCTCTCACTGAACCCACACATTCCATTCTACTTACACACTGTTCATCTCACACCTGACTCGGTGTGCCTCGCTGTCTCACAGGGCTCACCCCAACAACCTATTCTCACCATCGCACCCTTGCACAGCTGCATGTGCTGAGCTCAGCTGAGATCCCGCAGCCTGCCTGGGCTCACATTGATTGTGTTTTGCTGTGAAACAGCTATTGCTTTTTGTCTACTCAATATCCATTTTCCTGTCCTTCCCAGACATAAGCCCTGGCTTTATTCCAGATGGCCTATGTGTATTCTCCCTCACGGTTGGTTCCATTTGGTCCATAAGTAAGACTTCAACAAAACTGGTTGTCTGGGACTTCTGGGAAGCCTCCTTGAAAGGGGACCAAACGGAGTGTCCTCAGTTTTTATATTTTCTCCCTAATTTTAAAGATGGATATGATGTTCAGATCTGCCAGCATATGAGAACAGACGCTGCTCACTAAGGGAGGCTGGATCATAAGCTGAAGGGGCCCTGGGTCCTTGTTAACTTTGTGGACCTCAGGACCACCCTTTCTGCCTCCTAGCAGTCGATTTCCTTTATGTAAGAAGATGAGCCCTTAACTTTGCTTCGACATCTGTGCTGGGGCTCTGTCCCTACAGGATGTGGTTCTCACTGACTGCACATCACCCACCACCCCTCAGCCACTGTGAATTCTGAGTGTCATCATCTGACCACGATGCCGTGGAAGTGGAACGGTATTTTTTTCTTTTTCTTTTTTTTTTAATTTAAATTTTATTTTTTATATTCCCCATACAATTACAACCCCCTTATTTTGACCCCAACCCTTCCTTTCCCCGCCCCCCACACCCCATAGAGTGTCTCTGGTTCATAGTTGTTTGTTGATTTTGATTTTTTCTTTCTTATAGTTATTCATTTTCCTGGCCCCTTATTTAAGTTTTCTAGATTCCTGCCATGAGTGAGACCATCCGGTATTTTTCTTTTTCTTTCTGGCTTATTTTGCTGAGCATGATCCCTTCCAGCGCCATCCATGTTGCTGCAAATTGCATGTGTTTATCTTTTTTGAATGCTGAGTAATATTCCATGGTGTGTATGTACCACATCTTCTTGATCCAGTCATCTATTTTTGGGCATTTGGGCTGTTTCCAAAGCTTAGCTATTGTAAATAGTGCTGCTATAAACATAGGGGTGCAGGTGCTCTTTGGAATTGATGTTTCTGTGTCCTTTGGGTAAATACCTAGGAGTGGAATTGCTGGATCATATGACTTTTTCTTTTTTTAATGTGAGATGCCTCTTTGCATTTTCCTTTTGATGTTTCCAGCTATACAAAGCAGAAGGGACCAGGCTCAGGTTCATAAATCGCATCCTGTAAATGTTAGTGGGGAGAGGTGAGGCAGCATGACACGGCTGTCCAAGGACACCCATGGTCAGGTGGTGTGAGCTTTGGGGACAATGGCTCTTCCTTCTCTGGGTCAGCACCAATCATGTCATAGTGTCCCATCTGTGTCAGGATCCTCAGTGGCAAATGTCTCCAAAGAGTAACTTAGAGGGAAAGTGTACATTAATTTCTCTGCCTTGCCCGGCACCTTTCTCTCTAGGAACCTAATAGAAATAAAACTCAAGCTAGGAGATTGCAGCTTGAAAGCTGGAAGTGGGGAGTCAGACTCATTGCCCCCAGGGGTGATGAGAAGGGCGGTGACCCTGGACTGTCCTCGCCTCTGCCTTCACAGCTGCCTGAGTCTGAGCCATGGCCAAGGTGAAATTCTGCTGCTCCAGTTTCCCCTTATTTGGGGGGAAGAAGCCCCCTCCTCAGACTTTAGCCCAGTGGGCAGGTGCTCTGGGAAGAGCCTGTTCCACTTCCTCCACCCAGAACTCTATGCTGGAAAGACAAGGTGGGGACGACACCACGGAAATCTCCAGGGAGGATGTAAAAATCACCTTTTTCTGTTTTGTCAGAAGTTCAAGCAAAGAACTTCCCAGCAAAAATTAGGGTAAGAATGGGAAGTGATCCTTTTAGACAAGGAGTTCCTGGGTGTGGGGTATCTGTGTTTCCAGGCCTCTGCTCCTCTTAAGGGAAGTAGCAGCAACGCAGAAGGCTGTATCCACGCAGCTCCTTTCACCAGACTCTGCTGGGCAGGGGTGCTGTGGGCAGGGGTGCCTTTGGCAGCCTTGAAATTGTCCTTCAGTTTTAGGGGAGCCACATGTGTGTGTCATGGTCCCCCCATCATTCCCTCCTCACTTTGCTCTCATGGATCCGCTGGGACTGGCATTCACACAGTTCTGCTCTCTGGTAAATAACTTGCCGAGTTTTCAGCGGGGGTTTCCTGTCTTCTTCAGCACAGGAGTCCTGCTTTCTGCCCGTCCTGCTGTTTCAGCCTTTGGATGTTGTTATTTTGTTCATGACGCCCCTTCATGCAGAAGTTACACAGGCAGGTCTTCCTTCTTTCCAGTCTGTCTCACCTGCTTGCCAGCTGGTAGGGGCAAATCCCGTTGCCACCTGTGCTTCCGTTTCCTCATCTGTAAGCCGAGGGCAAAAGCAGGTCCTGGGAAAGAGCAAGGAACTAAGGCACAAGCCCGTGGGGGAGCGGTGGGGGATTAGGCCTGCACCCCCACTCCCGCACTCCTCTTCCTGTCACCCCAGTCACTTGTAACTGTGTGTTGTGAAGCCAGGTTAAGTAATGTGCTGCAAGGCATTTTATGCTCTGAAAAGTGACATGAAGATATTGTGATGGCTGTTGGGAGTTTGCCCCCTAGCAATCCTTGTGAAGGAGAGGTCTCTGCTCTTGGAGACAGTGACTTCCTTCATCATGTTGTTCTCACAGACCCAGGGGAATGACTTCCAGCTTATTTTGAGTCAGCTAATACTTGTGAAGGTTGAATGCATGGTTGATGAAGTTTCTATTGGCCTTGCCTGGGATCCAAGTCATCTCTGATGTAATGGGAGCTGGAGTTAATTTCCTCTGCCGCCAGGGAGCACAGTCAAGGCGTCTCCCCTGTTAGCACACTCCCTGTGCTTGGCTCAGAGCCAAGCTTGGATACTGTGGGGTCCTGCATGAATGCAAACGCCCTAGTGAGGAAGAGTCTAAAGAAAGAACATGTTGAGGAGACAAAGAAGGATGATCTTAGAGGGGGAGCAGAGTTCTCTTGGTGACGATTTGATAAGAACCAGTCTTTTGATGGGAGATCATGGAGACATAAACATGTGAGACTTTGCGTTGTCTTTTAGTGGTGACCTGTCTGTGGTGGTGTAGTCTTTAGTCCCAACATCTGGACTGATATAGGCATGAGGACTGCGGGGTGTCCCCCAGGTCCAGCTGTGGTTCCAGAGTCCTGGTATCTTTGGGGGCATTCTCTCAGGTGCCTCCTAGAGACCAGATCCCCCCCCCCTTCTGTCACAGCACTGTGTCCACACCCAGAGCTGGCTCTTCCCCCTCCTCCTGACTCCAGAGGATATAAATGAGTTCTTGACAGGAGTGAGCTTCTTTAAGAGGACTTGGTCACCAGAAGTATAGCATGGTAGGATTTTTAAAAACCTCAGAGAGTCTTGGAAATCTTGAAGTTCAAAGTTCTTATTTTAGAGATGAGGACACTGAGGTCCAGAGGTTAAGTGTTTTGTTCAGAGCTTGAAGCACAGTAGTGTCTGTGGACGCCAATGTCAGTTTCTTGATTTCTGATGAAATACCTTCCTCTACTGACTTTCTGTAATCAGGAGGAAGACAATCTTTTGATGAATAACTGTAGGAGGGTCAGGAATGACCCAAGAATTACCCGATTTATAACCTCGTAGTAGAGTCACTCTAAGAGAAAATGTCTCTGAGATAGCTTCCAAAAAGGATTGGGGTCACAAAAACAAACTGTATCACCCTATCCACAACTCCCAGTGCTCTTCATTTCTCTTTCTTTTTGTGGTCCCACCTTCTAGAGTCTTACATCTTAATAAAGAGCACAAGGAGGTGCCCAGAGAAGCTTCCATAGTATTTCTACTCCCCCCAACCCCCGCCTCCTTGTCCTTTCCCTCCTTTTCCTCCTTGCTCCTCTTTCTCTTTTAGTTTTTTATTCCCAAACACTGGTACTTATGAGAACTCAGAACAGAAGAAAGTAGGAGGGGCACGTTTCCTTTACCTTGATCTCTGCTGACTGGTTTCCTTTGTGGCCGGGAATGTGAGGCTGTGGGCTTTTTTCCAAGGCCATGTGCTACCAAGAACTAGACATGGAGAACTTAGCAATGGCATTGACCAGTTTTATTCTATTTTTAAATAAAATCTATTTAAAAATGAAAATTAAGTACGTTCCACGTTCTTCCACTGAAGTCGGGAAGAGTGCAGCTTCCCACCCAGGGGTGTGCTGGTGCTGCCTCATGAGAGGGCCTTGTTGACCAGGAATCAATTGTTAAGTCATTGGGAGCTCAAATCAGACAAGGTGGGAATATCAACACCCACCAGAAACTGCTACAAATCACAGCTGTTTTCTTCTTTTTTAAATCAGACAACTAGTGTGCCATCACAACAATGTCTTGCTACAAAAGAAGTGCCACTACCCGGAGGTAATCATTATTCGTGTCTTTGTGGAAATACCCAGGAAGTGATTATTCATATGCAAACACACGTGCATGCATTAAATGACATTCTAAATGTCATTTATTGTGGCAGGAGATGAGGGAGTGGCTAGGTGGCATTTGGGGAATGGTAGGAACAGCCAGTGAGAAGGTGGTGGCCATGAGGGAAAATGAGAAGACCTGTGTGCCTGGAGCAGAGTAAGTCAGGGGGGACCCTGAGATAAGGTATAAGAGGAAGAAAGGGGGAGATCATGAAGGGACAATGTTTCCCAGTTATATAAGAACTTTGACTTCTTTCTGGGTAAGACAGGATCCCATGAAGGTGAGTCTGAACCATTTGTACTATTCGAGAATAAGTTGTCAACATGAAGTCCTGTTACCACCACCCCCCCAATTTCAATATGTAATTTCCACCAACAAGGACTTTCTCCTTTATAACCACAATATAACCATCAAAACCAAGTGTTAACTTGATCTGTTGCTACCATTCTAGCCTCAGACCCTCTTCACATTCCATCAGTTTCCCCAGATGTGTCCTTTTTATAGCAAAAGGATCAATTTTAGATCACACATGGCATTTAGCAGTCAAATCTCTCAAGTTTGGCATTCTTTCAGTGTACTTGACTTTCATGATATTAGCATTTTTGTAGATTACAATTACTCTACAGACTGTCTCCCTTTGGGGTTCCTTAGCTGTTCCCTCGTGATGAGTCATTAGTGTGCATTTTGGGCAGGAACATCATGGAATAGGTACATTTTTTTCCTTCTGGCATCTAGTTGTGGGCACACAACTTGAATTTGTCCCATTACTGGTGGTGCTAAATTTGATTACTTAATGAACGTGATGTTTACCAGGTTTCTCCACTATGAAGTTATTTATACTCTGTCATTAATAGGTATTTTCTGGGGAGGTAGTTTAAGACCATGTAAATGTCTCTTTCTTCATCGAACATTCACTGACTAATTTTACTCTTTTTTTTGAAGTAGTTTCTGTATTTTGTATGTGAATATTACTTATAGCATCAATTCTATTTCTGCCTCCTTTAAAAAAATTTGATCCCTAAGAAACCTTTTCACATCCATAAGCAGAAGAGATTAGAAGTTATATACAAACACTTTTGCTGAATTCTTTGAATCTCTTCCAGGTTTCACGTCCCAAATCACAAATTCTATCACAAAATTTTTATGAAATACTCTGTCAACTGAATAACTTCTCCTTAAATTTGTTGAAAACAAAAAATGAAAAAAAAAAAAAAAAAGAAACCTGACTTGCCGAAGGATTTGCTTCCCAATTTCTTTGAATGATACTGAAAAGACTATCAAGATTTAGCCAATGACCCTTCTAGATGGGCCTAGATGGCCTTCTAGAGCTATCTGTTTAAACAGATGGACTTAGAAAGGTTTAGAAAAGTTTGAATATTGATTTCAACACACCATTGTTAATCTAATATTTCCGCAACATCCATTTGTAATGTACATTTTTTTGGCACGGGGAGTAAAACATCTTAGCTCTGGAGACATAATTTGTGGGATTAACCACTATTAGCCTAATGAGGGTGGGTACTAATCATGCCAATACTGCCAACATTCAATGGCTGCCCTGGTCAAACAGAGCCATATGCTCACCCTGTCTGACGAGCAAAGCCACCATTCATTGTCACATCAATCTGCTATGTCAACTTCTCTTATGTCAGAAAAAGTCTTACTTCATATTCAATCCAAATAAACACGCTATTATGATTCCCATGGCAACCAGCTCACTTCTGAAGTGGCCGTGAGCCCGGGATGTGAGGGTCCCATTTCTTCACACATCATTTTAAAAAGATGCAGGTTTAACTCCCTTGATTTTGTAATTTTTACAATTTAAATGGTAACATTCAATACTCCCTACAAGTCAGAGCTCCACTTTTTTTGCAACCAAAGCTTGTCTATCAATAAAACCATGTTCCCAAGATAAAGCAAGTTTTAATGCAGGCACACAGGAAGGAAAACAACTTCTGTGTAATCACTGTTGTGGTCAGGACTGGTTACATAATGTCAGGATTCAGTGCAAATGGAAATGTGGGGCCCTTTTTTTAAAAATAGAGAATTCAAAATGGCAGACTTAAAGCTCATGTGGGCTCTTTAAGAGGGTCCCTTCTAAGAATAGGCCATGTAACTTAGAGGTCCCATAAGTTTTGGGCAAACATTTGTAGAGCCCCTTATGTCACTTTCCTAGTATAAATCAAATTTAAAAAATGTCATAACCAAAGTACTCATTGCACACATTATTTTCCTCAATAAATGTGGACACAGTTTATGAACTCAGATATCTATGCATTTTCTATCTGTAAGACATAGGAAATAGATCTACCATAATCTCTAGCATAACCTGATAAATAACATTTCCATACCTCAGTTTCCCTATATGTAAACTAGGGGTAATGCACTTACTGGAATTATAAAGATTAATTGAATGATATAGGAATGTACATAGGACAGCATCTGTATAGTATAGCATAGTGCTATTATTTGGTCATTTTATTAATTCAGCAAATTATTGGAATATCATAATAAGGAACGCATTTAATGGCAGTGATAGTTTAGTATGCAACATTTTTTTACTTGTTAATAATGCACTAGGAATTATAACCTTTTCCACACTTATGTGTGATTTTCTGTTTTTTTTTTTCCTAGAAAAATGGTGACATGAGTGAACCATGCTAATTCTTTTGAGGGTCTCCAAGCCAACCCTGATAACTGTATTTAAAAATTAAGCTTGCTGATAATTTTACTAGTGCCCTGTGCTTTCCTCACAAAGAATTAACTGATTTAACTTATGCAGCTGTATAGTCTGTGAGTAAATTATGTGCATTAGGGATTTCCTCATATATTGTTTGACAATGCTTTATGATGAAGGTCCCAAAGCAGAGTTGCCGTTATTAGAAAAAAATTGCACATTATGTAAATAATTCATTATATTTAGTTTTGGTGCTTGGCTTTCAATCCTACCTTGGTAGTCCTTGGAACCTAGGTTGAAAAACTTGCATTATATTCTTATTAGAGCTTGGGTCTTTTATAACTCCCCACCCCCAAACTCTTGCTTTACTGTGAATAAGGAAATCTCTAATGACTGTTTTTTTTTCTTTTTCTTTAAAGATTTATTTATTTATTTATACAAGCACGGGTAAGTCAGAGCGCGGGAGGGTGAGAGAATTCACCAGCGCCACAGCGGGGAACAGAACAGGCAGACTGACAAAATACACTGCTGAGGGGAGCAATGACTGTTTTTTAAAGACTGAGTCCTCATTGGAAGTTTAGCCACAGACTGGCAAATTTTAAAAAATTTAAATGAAATAAAATTATGACTGTTTTTACTAGAAAGTGATAGTGCAATTGAGAAGAAAAACAAAATTTGAAGGAAGGTCAGCTGTACTCCCTTCCTGGGGCTGCTGTCACAAAGTACGATAACCTGGGAGCCTTAAAACTATAGACATGTATCGTCTTGCAGCTCTGAAGGTTGAAGTCTGAAGTCACTGTGTCAGCTGGATTGTGCTCCCTCTGAAATCTACAGCGGGGATCCTTCCTACCAGGAGGGATTTCCCAGCAGCCTTGGTGCTCCTTAGTTGCAGGTGCAGGCTCCAGGCTGCATTTGTTGTCACCCGGTCTTTCGCTGTCCCTGTGTTCACAGCCTTCTTCTTACTGGACACTAGCTGTGTCGGATACGGCTACTCTAAGCCAGTGTTACCTTACTGTAGTTGGTTATGTGTCAATAACCCTTGTCCAAACAAGCTCACACTCTGAGGTACTGGGGTTTAGGACTTCAAGATGTATCTTTTGTGGGGGAGCACAATTCAACCCATCACCTGTGCAGTTCAAATGTTTTTTACACCTGAAGGGAGAAATCAAATACTATCCTAAAATCAACAATGATGTAAAAAAAAAAGGCACTTAAAATAAGATTCTCATGAAACTGAAAATAATAACAATACAGCAAAAAGGTAAAAACCAGAATTAGTGAGCATTCACTGTATGCAATGCAGTGTTTTACATACATTACTGCATCTAAGTATGGTGGTGAAATGGAAGAAAGGAAAAGAAAACATTTTTTATATTAAAAGGTGAAATTTTATGACAGTTATAATAATAAATATTAAATCAGTCAGATATTGGAAAAATTTGCATCACAATATTTTTCATTATAATACAATATATAACCAAGTATTAACTTTATATGTCAATAGCAATGTGTATTTTGTTGACAAATAATACATTTTCTATTTTCAGGGACTACATCTTATTACTTAGACTTGTATTTCCCAAGACAATTAAAAAAACCACAAAGAAAAGAATTATGGGAAGTTCTTGTGATATAGATTACTAATCAGTAATATCCAGATTGGAATGGTGCGGACTAAATATGATTATTAATTTTTGTAATAATATTTTCAAGTCTGATAATATACTACTTATGCTGTATGTCATTACTTAATTGGTAATAACCCCATGTAGTGTGAGGTTAAAATTATGTGAAACAGTATCTTAAGGTGTGGTGTGTGAACATGGGTTTAACTGGGGGTTGGCTTTTGGAGGTGGGTAAATCAGAATTAAGTATTAATATCAAAAATCATTCCATTGACTTTCTTAGACTTTCTCCTTACCTTTGCATAAGAGGAAGGTGTGTATTTCAAAACATGATGTATCTGGAAGATACCACTGGTGTGAGGCTTCCCTTGTTAACATGAGTAGGGGGTAGGAAGGGCACCTACTAGACTCTGCGACATATATAGACACCCAGTACTGGGAAAGTCTTGTGAGGAAGCTGAGAATCTGCACACTGATTCCTTGGAAAATCTGTGTCTCCAAATTTCTTGTGAATGTTCCTGCTTGGCTAAACTTATGTCATATATGGAATCTTCCCAGTATCATCTGAAAAAGGTAGTATCCAGATTAGGAAGCAAGAATATGGAAGCAAATGAACTGTGAATATATGTGGAGGGGTAACAGCG